CAGTATTCACAAACTAGACTTCTAAACAAGTGCTAAAAAGAGAACCTTATGATCAGAATAGGATAACAGACAAAGTTTTTATATCAGTTAATCAATGCTGTCTATTCTGGCAATGCATCATGGAACTGTTGATCATAGACATGCACAGTGCCAAGGTTAGGTTTCATTGTAATTCCTGCTAATTCTCACGTCAGGGGAATATCCCTGCCAGAAGAGTTTTTATTAAGTAATTCAAATAAATCCCATCGGGGTCAAGAATGCACAAGCAACTTATACCCTAAATGGTAGTGAACTAGGGATAACCACACACGAGAAGGATTTGGGAATTGTTATAGATAACAAATTAGGCAGCAATATGCAATGTCAATCTGCAGTTACTAAGGCCAGTAAGGTTTTGTCATGCATTAAATATCAGGATTAAAAACAAACATTATGTTGTCTCTTTATAAATCACTGGTAAGACCACTTCTTGAATATGCTGTGCAATATTGGGCACCTGTTCTAAAGAAGGATATCATGGCACAAAATAAGTGCAGAGGCGGGTTACTATATTGATAAGAAACATGGAAGATTTTAATTATGAAGAATGGTTAACAAATGTAAAACTGTTTAGTTTCGAAAAAGGGGCCTTGTCTGGAAGTCTATTTAATAATAGCACTATACATAGGACACAAGGTCGCACATTTAGACTGTAAGAAAGGAGTTTTACTCTAAGGCATAGGGTTCAATAATGCCGAAGAAGTGGTTTTTATCAGTGTCTGTAAAGATTTTTTAACTGACTAGATGAAATCCTACAAAAACATAATATTTAATATGTGGGGTTACAACCTCTTTGTCCAAGGAACCGTCTGACTGCCATTCTGGGGTCGATAAAGATTATTTTTCCCAATTTGTTTCAAACTTTATTTGCCTTTTGGATCAACAGAGGAAACAGATGTGAGACTGCATGTCCATTGTCAGTGTATGTAAATAGTTGATGATGTTTTAAGAAAGCCGCGATCTATCTGTGCACTGCATTGGGGTACTGCATCTTAAATGACTTGTCTTTCGGTCTGTTTTTCAGTGACATCGTAGAAGAAGACCTAGAGGAGGCTGGAGTGTTGGATCCCAAGCACAAAAGGATTATTCTTGACAACCTCCAGCTCAGGAAATAGCTCTTGTGGCCTTATTTGCCATGTGTGGCCTCCATCTTGTTGTGTTTACAAGCCCATTTCTTATTTAGCTCTGGTAGCCATCAGATCTATTAAGGTCTTATTCCTAACCCAGGATATTCCTGTCTTTGCAATCCTACATGCTGCTTGAAAATGGAACCCATTGACAGACTGCCCCACCTCCATATTTACACTGTGTGTTCGTTAATCTTTCGAGAATACAGGGGTCTCCTCCCAAGCACTGACTTTTTATGTTTTTATATATTTAATTAGAAGAGAGCCTTTATTTTGAGTTTTGTGAAGTTTTTTTTCTTTCATTTATCTGATTTTCTATTTTTTTTTTTAGACCAAAATGGCTGTCAAAGAGCAGTGACCTAACTGTTGCTATGACAGCAGCCTTTGTTTCATAAAATGGCTGCCGGCATCCATTTTTCACACCGTTTTACTACTCACCTTACAGGTGATCTTAAACCCAGCAGCCCTGCTCAGGGGACACTGGTGTGTCACGTTATTTAAGGAAAAGGACACTCTCATATTGAGCCATTTGGAGATTCAGACACAGGGACTGGCTGTGGTGTTAGCCGTTTTCTGGTATTGTTTTACATTTGCTGTTATTGGCCACCATGAAGTATATAAACTACTTACGCTGGCAAGGCCAGGGTCAAGTCTTCTTCATGGTCTCTTAACGTCTAAATCCGTTAACCAAACGGGGGATTGACATCTCAAACTGCGAAGCAGAAAGACCCTTCCGTCCCCACATCGTCTTTGCCAAGGGAAATACTAAGACTCTGACTCTTCCAATGAATGTTCTTATGTTAGAATATCATACTATTATAAGGTTTTTTTGTTCACTAAATCATAAACGTTGTATCTGCCACTGCAGACATTGTTATTATTCTGTAGAATACGTAGTTTATTTTGTGTCCAGTCAGTCATTTCTGCAATTTCTACAGTGTGTGCCAGATCAGAAAAGGGCGTTTTCTGCACTAGATCCACAGTAAGGGGCTCTGTGAATGTGGACATTAACCCTGTTATTGCCAGGGCTGAGAACCCACATGGACATGCAATGCCCGTCTCAATTCTCAGGTGCACTTCCAGGGACTTGTACCATACAAGTCTCATCACTCTGCGGCTGCCCAGCCCTGATCTGTGTATTATATGCACAATGTATGCTAACTCACATAATGTAATATTCACATATAACTAAAGCGTATTGTCTCGCAAAAAATCCCAATTCCTTCAAACAGAAACCCATTGCAAACAGTGCTGTATGATGCTGTATAGTGCCTTGTGCTGGTTAACACAGTGAGTGCAAACCAGCTCGTTATCACAAACACCCACAATTATCCTGATCACAGAGATACCCTCTCAAACCATTTGTTTTGCTTTTATCTCACACAAACCACATCATGGACACAGATTACCCCATATCAAAATCTTCATCCAGGACCATATGCAGGGACATGACAATTTCTCTCTCTATTCTCCCCAAAGTCTGATTACTAAACCTGGCCGGGGAACTACCGCTTGTCTTGCTGTACTGTTACCTATTAGACTAACAGCTCAGGGCTGGCCAGCCTGTAGTCCCCAGCTCAGGGCTGGCCAGCCTGTAGTCCCCAGCTCAGGGCTGGCCAGCCTGTAGTCCCCAGCTCAGGGCTGGCCAGCCTGTAGTCCCCAGCTCAGGGCTGGCCAGCCTGTAGTCCCCAGCTCAGGGCTGGCCAGCCTGTAGTCCCCAGCTCAGGGCTGGCCAGCCTGTACTCCCCAGCTCAGGGCTGGCCAGCCTGTACTCCCCAGCTCAGGGCTGGCCAGCCTGTACTCCCCAGCTCAGGGCTGCCCAGCCTGTACTCCCCAGCTCAGGGCTGGCCAGCCTGTACTCCCCAGCTCAGGGCTGGCCAGCCTGTACTCCCCAGCTCAGGGCTGGCCAGCCTGTACTCCCCAGCTCAGGGCTGGCCAGCCTGTACTCCCCAGCTCAGGGCTGGCCAGCCTGTACTCCCCAGCTCAGGGCTGGCCAGCCTGTACTCCCCAGCTCAGGGCTGGCCAGCCTGTACTCCCCAGCTCAGGGCTGCCCAGCCTGTACTCCCCAGCTCGGGACTTGCCAGCCTGTACTCCCCAAGCTCAGGGCTGGCCAGCCTGTACTCCCCAGCTCAGGGCTGGCCAGCCTGTACTCCCCAGCTCAGGGCTGGCCAGCCTGTACTCCCCAGCTCAGGGCTGCCCAGCCTGTACTCCCCAGCTCGGGACTTGCCAGCCTGTACTCCCCAAGCTCAGGGCTGGCCAGCCTGTAGTCCCCAGCTCAGGGCTGGCCAGCCTGTAGTCCCCAGCTCAGGGCTGGCCGGCCTGTACTCCCCAAGCTCAGGGCTGGCCAGCTCTTTGTTCCCCTGTTACAGTTCAGTACTCAGCATCTCCCAGGGACTGTTCCAAAAAACTATTTGTTTTATATTCTTGTATATCGTCCCTTCACCAGTTCCTCCCCCGATTTCACTTATGGTTTCATTCTAGCTCCTTTTTGTTGATCGTGTGTGAGCTCACACAATAAGAGCCCCCCAATCCTGGATGGGTCCTCACTCTCCGTTTTGTAATGTGCGTATTGTGCGAGGGATACACGTATCGGATTGTAGGCACCATTGACACATAGAGGGTTATTCATCAACGTCTGGATTGTTTGGAATTCACGGTGTATTTCAATTTTTTGTGAAAATAACTGAACTGTAAATATAACTGAATGGAAACGTTGCCAGTTAAGCCGTTGTCATCTAAAATATGAAACCCACTTTGAAATTCCCGACAATTCAAACTTTTGTAAATAAACCTCAAGCAGAGAGTAGAGCGAAGTCTGTGAATTGACACATCCCATTTTAAGGTGTATATTTTGCACCAAAGCACATTCCTAGCAGTATCCAGCCATATACCCAAACACCATGCTTCTCGCCTTTCCCGAGTGCCGTATCTGTAACATTAAAATCATTTCTTCTACAAGCAAAGGCGAGATTCTTACTATGTTACAGGAATTCCAACCTCTCTAATGACTGTGTGCATGCAGCAGGTGGGTAGTCACTTTGCTCTGCAATTTGTTTTTGTTTTTTTATTTCAACGTTATACGGTTTTATTGTTGTTAACCCTTTGTTCTGTATTTATGCTGCGTATATATTGTGTACAATGCCGGTCTGTTACTGTTTGGGAACTCTGTGCCGTGAGACACACCGCGCTGTGGTGCTTTGCATCGGTAACAGATCTTTAAAAAGGGACTCACCTGTCAATGGCTGCCTCCAGTCACAGTCAGGTGGGAGCTTTTTCGTGGACTGTTTTAGCATTCCCAAGGACGTGGCACTTACAGCCCCCTCTGTCATCATTAACCTTGTTAACATTTAAGTGTAATAAATAAATAAAAAATAAATTTTTAAAAAGTGTGTTTTGGCAATAAAATTATAATTAGCAACTGCTCCAGTTATGGGTGAATGTTTGGTTCTAATAATTTATTTGTTGGTAAAATAACTTTTGTGGTGGGGCATCATTCGTAGAGGCACGCTTTGATATGGAAGAGTGGTTTAGTGTGATATATATCTGTCACGTATATTAAATGCTTTCCTTTCACAATGAATCTATTAATGTACTTTAAGCACTGCTCAGTAAATCTTGTCTGAATCTGTAAGGAGAAAAATTAACGCTCATTTACATAGAAATTACCAACTTCTGGAGATTAATATCACTCCCAAAATATATTATTACGGTTTTCCTCCCTAGTTTAATAGTTATAAGTGTCAAGCGATGTCTTCAACATGTCGTTTAATATAAATATATGTTACTCAGGCAGGAAAGAAAGCCTGGATAATTCTATAAATGCCTTTTAGTTCTAATAAATCCCTTATTCTTGTTCAAGTAATTTAGAGTGGACTATTGGAGCATTGGACACCCCCATTCTGACAAGTTCAGTATCTACAGACTGTGAGACTTAGGGGTCAGTTATCAAGCGCAGATTGTCCCTGTCAATCTGCCTCAAACTATACTACAAGCTAACGCAGGCAATTTGTCCCAAGTTAAAATACCACCGCCACAGCCTGTGTTTCAAATAAAAAAAAACATTTTATTTTGTTAAATGAAAAGAACTCGGATTGTAAATTCACACAAGAATAGGGCCCTTAACTCCTCATTTGTTTGTTTGTCAAATGTCGTGTAGTCTCTTAGATGTGTTGTACCATTGTCTTTTTACTTGTACTAATTGTACAGCACTGCAGCATGTGCTGGCGCATTATAAAAAAATAAATAAAAGTATAATAACTCTATAAGGAAGGGGTTAACAGCTGGGTATTTGTCTTATTTAGAAAATTAGAACCTGTCCCCCCATGTTAAACACGTGTGGGTGTAGGCAGCCGGGAATCAGGGAGAGCTGTTTCTCCCAATTCCTGGTTTAGTGACTATCTCATTCTGTGTTTTGTTGAGTTTGATATCTGCTGCTTTGTTTACTGTCCCCGGTGGGATTGCCTGGCAGGTTATCAGAGGCCAATTTATTGGACTGGCTTGGGGAGAATAGCAGGGCCCTGTGGGCAAATAGACAATGGTGGTAGGAAACCAAGGTGAGATGAGACAGAATCTGCAGCACCTCGTCTAACGGACTGCATCACAGCATGAGAAAAACTGTGAGCTGCTTGGCATGTACCCATGGGCTATGGCACGGACGCCCTGCTTGCACGGCACAGACAGACCCCCTGCTTGCACGGCACAGACGCCCATCTCATGCAGCTGCTAATATGTAAATGGTACAATGTGCGCTGGTGAAAATCTGTTCTGCTGGAGAACATCATCCCATGTTTTTGAGAACCTTCATCACAGAATCCAACACCAAGACAGGTACTGGATCCCGGACGTCCCTCCTGGACTGCTTTTCAGCGTAATCCGAAAAATGGAAAGATTTAGTAAGAAAGAGAGTAAAAATATACATTTTATTTAATATTTATATTTAATATAAATTCAGATAAACGTGACTCAACACCAAGTATGATTTGCTAAACTCTAATCCGCCTACAAATTGCAGGGATAACCCCAAGATCTGTTATCTGGATATTCACCAAGTGAAATTTAGGGGCAAATTAGGAAAAATATATAATATCTCAATTATATTCCAAAACAAAGTCCAGTTGCATAAAGTGTAGGTATACAGACATTTAGTGAGCACAAAGCCGCTCCTGAATTACCTCTGAATTCTGCTTTGGAGCCAAAGGAAAGTTAATTCTCAAAGTGTGATTTTCAATTATCTATACTTGTCATTGTCTGTGAGCAAACCCTACAAAGAGGAATGACGTCTACATGTATGCAGGGAGGGCTCGTTCCCTGCTAGACTGGCTACACAAGGGAACTGCGATTAAATTATTATAACATACAGCCCAGGCCTGCATTGATCCTTATCAGATCCTCCTCAGCAATTTCGGGGGTAATTTGTATATCACAGCCAGCACCACGGACAGGGCGCCATCATTAGAATTCGTTATCTACCTGAAACCAGGCCTAACAGTCTTCATGGTTAAACTTAACTGGTTTTGTTTTTAAATAATTCTATTTTTTTTTATTTTTTTTTTATATTTTTGAAATTCACATTAGTTTTTTAAAATCTCACCAAGTAGAAATATTGATTACTTTTTCTCACAGGAAGCGCGATATTTGTCAATGGGCGGGGCTTCAGCAAAGTTCCATTTCAGTTGTTATGGTAACACCCCCCAATCCTTCAGTAAAATCGACCCCACAGAAGGCAAAGTGCAAACATCGTGGACAGAGGAGAACAAAATGGCTGCGCCCCAAAATTGAGGGAAAAAATATAATACACAAATAGACAAGTCGCAATGGGAGGAATATAGTGATTAAGATACAGGGCATAAGGAACGAAAATCAAGATCAACGACAAACAAAATGGTTCTATCTTGGAAAGATCCGACCAGCCTGTTCGCCGCCTGTTATAGTGCAGTGGTGATAGTAGGGGGCGTGCAATTATCTCTTTTGGCTGTTTTGGGTATAGTGTACTGTACATAATTTATATGTCATACAATTTTGCTATATGATATTGTTAGTTGTTATTTTACCGAATTTGCTTTAATTGATTCTTATTATTTTATTATTTATATAGCGCCAGCAAATTCCGTAGCGCTGTAAAAGGTTTGCAATGTGGCTTGCACATGTCATCGACTTGGGAGATGTGTGCGGTGTTCGTTCTCCTCGTTTGCAAACACTTTGCCAATTTTCTGAGTTTCGGTTATTTGCTGGGAAGGTGTTTTCTGTTAGTTTATCGAGGCCTTTGTGATGTTTCATTTCAGTCTCTGATGGTTCTGTTGATTCCTGAATATAATCCTGTTTGATATAACGGACCCTTTTTTACCGGTTGCATAATGGTAAATGTATTAGAATGTGTGTACTGGGACTCTGTCGGCATCATTAATAATAGCTCGTCACCGGCTTAGATTTGTCTGCAAAGTGCCTTGAATGGTAAATTCTAAATTTGCCACAGCAAATGAATGTTTAAGTAAATGTTTATTTTTTTTATTTTTTGCCACCATTTTGTTGTACAGCTTGGCACAGTAATTGTCTTGTTACAAAGTCCCCCTCTGGGCAGAGCCCTTTCTTATAGTTTCTTGATGTGTCACTGTCTTTGATGCTGGAGGACCATGAACTTTGGATGCTACCAATAGCTACAAGATAACTGGAGACCTCTCTCTGCTTCGGGCTTCATATACTAAACCCCGGAGGGGAGAGTGTCCATAATGGCGTCCGCATCCCTTTCAATCTAAAATCGGCCACAGCAAAACCAGAACCAGCTAATCTCTGTCGGATAAGGTCCCCTCCTCTGTAAACCATTGTGGGTCTTTAGAATGTCTGCAATAATATCTTCCTATAGAACTCCAGTTTGACAGACCTCAGTCTAGTGTTCGATTTTACCTGTTTGAAAACATCATGCCGGCATAATTACTGACAGGGTTTTTACAAAACTGACCGCAAACTTAACATCAATTCAAAGTAAATTTTAAATTTTACACCACAAGCATTTCCTTTGCTTAGAAGTCAGATATGTTCCCAATGAAGAATATCCAGTCTTCCATCAATTATCTGCTCACATGAACCTCTATCATCAATAACAGAAAAGTGTTCTGTCCTTCTAGCCTTCCAGCAATAGACGGAAGATACAAGATCCTCGACAAAGGAAAGGTGGGTAATGGCCATGAAAGGCCGTGTTCCAAATTGGACCTCAATATTTGTGATCGCTCCACCTAGAACATCGCCCAAACTCTTCCACAGTCAATGAAATACAATGTATTTGCTATATATGAACACTACCTGGAATAATGCCTTTTATTAATTACCCCAGAATTAATATCCAGAAACATCATTTACTATACAGTAAAATCTCCTTCTAGACCAACAGCACTTGCTGAACAATAATATTGTACAATAATAGTGGTTAATGTCCATCTCTTGCTGTTTAATGGTTACAAAATAAATAACAAACAAAGAAATGTACAGTTTAATAAATTAAATTTTATTTGGGATTAGCATAATTTGCAGATTTGTTCAATAAATTACAGGACATTTAAACAAAACCGTCATCTTTTCACAGCCCAGTAACAAGTTCTTATCTGTACACTGCGTGAGCTTTTTTTATTCTGTGCCAAGAGGTATATATAAGTATACAGAGACCTGTATGGATAATGTATCGAAAAGGAAAGATTATCCCCCGGGATGCTCTGTTCTCGCTCACCGTCACCTGTCTTTCAGGACCTTTTTTTTTGTAAAACAGTAAATGTAATATTTTGCAGTGTTTACATAAACAAGGGGCATTCTGTGGCTTTATTTGAAACTTGTCTTTTAATTCTTGGGTAACCTCTAAACCCCACCTCTATCCTAGTCATTCTTTATTCTAACAAATTTAGCGATTGATCTCTCCAACTGCAAAAAATATTGATTGTTTTCCTGGCATCGGAATAGGCCATGTAACTATGGTCAGAAATCTAAACCACACATTAATTGAGATCTACTGGCAGATGATATGGGGTTTAGAGATAATAGAGCTGGCCAGAAAATAGCAGAGATGGTCCTTCAAGAGTTCAACAAGAGTGGTTGAGTCATCGATGGGTGGCAGAGTCTCAGATGGGCAATAGATTATGTTAGAACCTCTTACTAAGGCATTTTTCCAAATCTGTTCTATGAACGCCCTCTTAGGTTCTGCCATTTGCTGGCACCACTGTAGCTGTTATGAAGGTGGGCTTGGAGTCTGATCTCGATGGTTAACCAAGTATCAATATAGGCTGAAAACTGATCTTCTCCTAAGGCAACTCTTGAACTTGATGGTTTCTAAGCTAATTTAACTGTGTTCCCATTAAATGTCTCTTCCGTCCTCATATAAATACAAATATACACGCACATAAGTGGACAAACAGATGCCTCTTGGAAACAAAGAGACTCTTTAGCTGCTAATGGACCAGAAAATGTCTGTGGCAGATAATTGTCCCTAATCCTACAAAATGTTATTTCTGATTCATACAGAGTCCAGCGTAGGCCCAGTATCCTTATTTTATCTTAGTACTGAATGATATCCTCATCTGAAATATATTTATCCCAGAATGCCAGATGGCGATAATTTCCTTTATTCGTGACGTCTCTGTCATAGATTAAGAGTAATGGATCCAGCCAATAAATGAATGGTATAGTAGGGCGGTCATATTTGTCATAAATTCAAAACAGTGAAAAAAAAATGTATGACGTTATCTCAGAGATCGAACACAAAACCTCATCGTATGCGACAAGGAGCAGTGTCTCCTAAGGAAAATAAACAAAAATAAAAATTATATGTAACATAAACCTAGTTAAATATCATAAATAATAAATAAACCAATTTTTCAAAAAAATACCACCAACTATGATTGATCTATTGAGCCAATGAATATTGTGAGCCCCTAGGGCCATCACGGTGTCCATAATCTAGGTCCATGCCATAAGACATCTAGCTCTTATTCGAAAGCCAGAGTTATTTTCAATAACTTGATCATCTGTTCCAGATGTTGGAGTATATGTCCTCAACATTGATTGGTCACTGTCCATCTCTATGGACACAGCAGATATGGGAAAATATCTGGCAGATTCTTCATTGATCCAAAGTGTAACTAAATCCAGGAGGGGTGTAACTTCCCCTGCGTACAATCCTCTCTTACTTTAGTCTGTTTGTCTTGATTTGTGTTTTTGCAATGATGTCTCATTACTGTGTTATTTAAAACAGGTTTGTCTTCAGGGTGTTTGGCTTCCTGTGAAATGTGGATAAGACACCAGCAAATGGCCCAGGCACGGCATCTGCAGGTTGCCAAGCCTTGAGAAGGTCGGCTGTGTTACTGCTGCTTGTTGGGACCCCAGGCCAAACAGGGGCCTTCATGGTCTGGGCTGTAGTATGATTCGATACCAGGGCTGCAGCTGTTCCAGGGCTAGGACTAAGGGTTCCTCCAGGACTGTTAAGGTTGCCTGTAGTGGTTAGAGATGCTGTGCTGTCTGGGGTCGGGCTGCAGTTGGACTCTTTGGACTCATCATCTTCTGAAGAAGAACGTGCATCTGACTTTTTGTTTCCTGATCCACCATTGGCGGTACTTCCATTTTTCGAATTGGCTGCTCTCTCCTGCTTGCGAAACTTGGCCCTTCTGTTCTGGAACCACACCTGTGAAACGGGTTAAAGAAAACATTTAAGGAAATGACAGACTGTTTATTTTTGCAGTAAAATAAACAAAATCTCTGCACACTCTCATTACAGACCAGAAATTGGAGACAGGAGTCATTATCTTCTGCAAACAGTGTGCATATGTGAACATTCCTAGACCCAATCTAGTTGCATGCCCACCTCCCAAGGCCCTCCCTAACTCGCCTAGTTCTGCATGCACATCCCCAGATCCAGCCTAGTTCTGCATGCACATCCCCAGATCCAGCCTAGATTTACATGCACTTTCCCAGATGCAGCCTACTTCTACATGCACATGCCCAGTCCCAGCCTAGTTCTGCATGCACATCCCCAGATCCAGCCTAGATTTACATGCACTTTCCCAGATGCAGCCTACTTCTACATGCACATCCCCAGACCCAGCCTAGTTCTACATGCACACCCCCAGATTCAGCCTAGAATCCTAGATCTACATGCACTTTCCCAGATGCAGTCTACTTCTACATGCACACCCTAAGGCCCAGCCTAGTACTACATGCACACCCCAAGGCCCAGCCTAGTTCTATAAGCACACCCCAAGGTTTGGCCTGGTTCTACATGCACACCCCAAGGCCCAGCCTAGTTCTACATGCACACCCCAAGGTTTGGCCTGGTTCTACATGCACACCCCAAGGCCCAGCCTAGTTCTACATGCACACCCCAAGGTTTGGCCTGGTTCTACATGCACACCCCAAGACCCAGCCTAGTTCTACATGCACTTCACAGGACCCAACTAAATGTGTGCATCCCAGGACCAAGCCTAGCTTTAGGCATATATCTCTAGACCCAGTGCATACTGTATTTACATCCCAGGACCTAGATATGTGTACATACCTGCACCCTGGCTTCTGTCAGGTCTATCTTAAGAGCCAGCTCTTCCCTGGTGTATATATCCGGATAGTGCGTCTCTGCAAACACTCGTTCCAGCTCCTTCAGCTGGGAACTGGTGAATGTTGTCCGAATCCTTCTCTGCTTCCTCTTTTCATTGATACTTGATGGGTCTGAGAAGAACTTGTATGGGACTAGGGGAAAGAAAGACCAAAATGTGTCAATATTGTATGAGCAGGCCTGGTAGAAGAAACAACATTAAATGAATGGGACTGGGAAATGTTTCTATTCTTTATAAAACTCGTTACAGAGGCCGCATTCCAGGAAAATAGCCCAATATAAGAAGTTAATTTGCATCAAATGCCTTGATCGTGCCCTTTCAGAGACTGCGACTCAAAGCTTATCAAATTATTTATTATTTTTTGGATACATTTGTAAAATGATTTACTATTTTGAAATATGTTTTGATATTTTGATGTTTTATATATATTTTTATATATGAATATTTTTTATATTTTAATAATTTATTTAAAAAAATGTAAAAAGCTGATCCAAAAATATTAAATTGAGGTCTATGTAAGTAGGATATTTTATCCCTGTCGGCCATTGTTATACGCTCTGTCCTGTAACGGGGTGTCTCCATCTTAGCTCCCCGTCAGCCATTGTTATACGCTCTGTCCTTGGCACCTGGCCGCTTAGAGAAAGCATACAAAGAACAGGAGTAATGAAACAACGTTTCCATGTCTCCTCCTCATTTCTCCTCACTGTTTGCCCTGGATTGGCTTTGTCCGAACTGGATTATGGGGATTCATAGACTTTGAGATTCAATTTGGACTGAACTGCAAGTCGGCCAAATCTGGGTCTATTTTGGCTTATTTGGTGTTTGGCTGAATTGTGAGCCAGAATGTACCTGAATTACAGACTAATTGGACTACGCAATGCGTGGTGGTAGTGGTGGTGGTGGTAATGGTGGTGGTGGTGGTGGTGGTGTCAATGTTTTAAACGCCACATATGACTCCTAAAATAGATTGATGGGTAAGGACAGTCACTAAATATTTGTTTTGGTTTTATTGGCAGATCACGAGAGAAGTGAGCAGTAGTGGGCTATAAGTAGGAGCAGTAAAAGTGTGTTTTATTATATATTTAATATATAACGTGTGAATATATACTTCTGTGTTTCTTCCTTTAGTTCCTTCCCCCTGCTCCTATCAGTGTTCTGCAAGATATATGCATATTATAATATCTGCGCACCGATTGGCCATTATCGCACCTGTTTTTTGTTAGCTCTCTTGACATTCGGCCGAGCTGCACGGACGTGCGACTGAATTTTGGACACCCTGAAATATTTTCCATGTTTGGAAACTATGACCGTAATTTCTCACAATGTCTACGTCTAATCATTTTTTTAGTCATTAATATAAATTTTTAAAAAAAAACATATTAAATTCAGTGAATGTGTATACATACAAATATGTACCTATATATCACAACCTTTCTCTGCCATCTCCCATCCTTCAGGTACATACAGATCATTGGATTCCCTCCCTCATCCTGGCACCATAACTACTACAGGAGGCTGATCTGTCACAGAGTTCTACTACACAGTACAGAGCGAAAAACGGGGTATTTAGTCCGTGATGCTTAGATCGCACTGTATACAGCACTGTTAGTGCTGTACACTCAGCAAAGGGCTGAGTACATTTCGCTGAAGGGCAACTACAATCAAGTAGCCAATTTAAAGGCAAAACTTGCACACTGCCACATGTTAATTGGTTTACACTAATACTGCAATAATAAACAATGAAAATAGTTACATGTTCTGTTTCTTATTGTGCTATGTTGCAGCAGGCCACAAATCTCTCTATATTGGTAGTCCGGGGGCAAATGCCCCCCTTACCAGCCACACTGTACACCGTGAGCAGGGGTACCCTAATGATGTCATCACCAGGAATCCAAAGCTAAGCTGAGATCGACGAAGGTCTGAAAAGACCCAATGTTTTCATTCAATTACTAAATGTAAAAAAGGTCAATAGATAATTGGGTCTAAATAAGGAAACGCTAATTATTTAAAAAATAAAAAAAACTTACTCATCCCATCCCCCAGAAAAAAAACATATTCAATGTTTAAAAAATAAATAAATATATATATACATTTATAGACAGATAAAAATGGATAAAATAATTCATTTTGGGTTTGGTGACTGTTGTAGAAGGTAGATCACAAAATCTTGAAAATGCTAGATTTTAACACTAATGTAATAGCGAAAAATAAATGACAAACGTGAGAGCTATTTCAAAAACCAGAACAACAAAGAAAATTCATTTCTTTTGATGTACATTTCTTTTCTGATATATTAGCGGCAAAAAATATTAAACGATATTATATGAAAAATGTACTACTTGAATTTTTTTTTGCCATTTTTGAATATTTTAATCCGAATCGTAGTAATATTATTCAATCTATCGACATTCAGTACGTGGATACAGAAGCCCTCTATGTCCTATATAAAACCAATATATAATATGGAACGTGTATATAATACGCCAAATAGAAATGAGGGAAATTACGATTTTAACAAGTGGGTTTAAAAATTCTTCAGTCTTTAAGAGATTAATTGTACAATATGTAAATGTAATATGATTAATATTAATACAATTATTGGGAATTCGGAATAAAGGTGACAGAATTGTTCTCAATACATTTTATTTTATTTTAATTGTGTAATAATAATTTAGCGCCAAGTAAATCCTGTCTCCAATTACTTTTTATTTCTTGTGGTATTTTCGCCATTGGTTTGGTTTTAGAATTTACGCAATTATCAATGAGCGCAAGTAATTTATTGACAAAATTTCCTGCCAGTGTTTTTATGTAAAGGTTTTATTATCCATAAAATTGCGCATGCACAAACTTCTCCCCAAAAATGGGAAGAATTTCTAAATGAGAATTTGCCTCCTTTCTACGTAACTTCTATTTCACCGAAACGCTGGGAGAGCTGCGAATGATGGACATTATGGCGCAATCATTAAGAACATTGCGGTGGTTTCCATGGTGACTGCTCCACTTTTAGATCTCTGCCCCAGGAACGCCTGAGCTGTCGGGGAGTAGGCGGGCCCTGGGACACTATCACCAGCCCTCTATAAACAATGTTAAATCGATGAATTCAGCGTAGTTTGTAATATTGGTAACAATATTTGGATATGGAGTAATTATTGCCATCACAAAAATGGTTGTTTTGAAAATGCTGACACGCGTAATATGTAAAAAAAACATAAAAATAAAAGTGCAACATATTAAAATGTAATCCTATAATTTTATGTACAATATCTATTATTTATAAATACAATTGTGGCGAGTACACAATTTACTGTGCAAGGTGTCTGTTTACATATTGTGATTGTACCTCATTAATACAACAAGTAGCTCTGCAGCTTTAATACAAGGTGTGTGTCTGTCTGCCTGTCTGTGTGTATGTCTGTCTGTACAGTTCCAGGATATTGGTAGTAGACACTGTGATTTGATGGTAGTAGTAGATACAGGACACTATGTGTTGATGGTAGTAGTAAGATACAGGACAATGGCACTATGTGTTGATGGTAGTAGTAGATACAGGACACTGACACTATGTGTTGATGGTAGTAGTAAGATACAGGACAATGACACTATGTGTTGATGGTAGTAGTAGATACAGGACACTGACACTGTGTTGGTGGTGGTAGTAGTAGATACAGGGCACTGACACTGTGTTGGTGGTAGTAGTAGATACAGGGCACTGACACTGTGTTGGTGGTAGTAGTAGATACAGGGCACTGACACTGTGTTGGTGGTAGTAGTAGATACAGGGCACTGACACTGTGTTGGTGGTAGTAGTAGATACAGGGCACTGACACTGTGTTGGTGGTGTAGTAGTAGATACAGGGCACTGACACTGTGTTGGTGGTAGTAGTAGATACAGGGCACTGACACTGTGTTGGTGGTAGTAGTAGATACAGGGCACTGACACTGTGTTGGTGGTGGTAGTAGTAGATACAGGGCACTGACACTATGTGTTGATGGCTGACTCTATGATTAAGTGCCAAAGTTTCCTAACTCAATAAATGCTGTCACCTAACACCATCGCACCCCCTATCCTCATAGAAGGTATCTCATGGGATTTAAAGGGGAAGATGTGATTGCCCCAATTATGAGTACATGAGGATGACCTGCATATAGCAGAATAATGTTTTACTTCCCAGAATTTGGGGTACACAGTATACATGTTTGGGGTACACACCGTATAAAGGTAAGTAGCCTGAGATACCTGTAGTGTATGGAGAAGGCTGGTGGTCTCTCAGTGCCCCCAGGGTGCAGTTGGCTGTGGTCAGAGGAGGACATCCAGAGTTGGCCCCGAAGCTGGTCCTGATGGGGTTGTACTGGAAGCTGTTGGCCTGACTGCATGAACTGAAGTCTGCATAGGCTGAGGCTTCCATGGCTGCCATACAGGAGTCATAGGAATTCAGGTAAGAATAATCCATTTTGTACATAGATGAAGCCCTGGCAGAGTTTCTGGAGGAGCAGAGGAAACCTTGGAGGAGATCAGAGTCTTCAACTTCTGCAAGACCTGGTCTAGCAAGTGTCAGGTTGTGTGGTCCTCTCTAGGTGGACATGGCAGCTTCTTCTCCTTGTGTTGTCCTCCTTACTTCTTCTGGAACTGGTGTCCTGATACCTCCTGGTGTCCTGAAGTGTCCTGGTGTCTCCTGGTGCCTCCTGAAACCTTCCACCCCTGTCTCCTGGAGCCCTGGCAATGCTGTCCTTGGCTGTACAGAGGGTTATGATCTACTTGCTGGAGGTAGGACATATCAAGGCGGGGAGCTTTTTGCATGACAATACAACAAAAGTCTATTGGGGGCAGCAGAAAGTGCTGGGTCCCCTCCCCCTAATGCATCACTAATTCTCATTTAACCCTTTAAATCCCAGGCTCCATCTCATGTTGTCAGTGTGGTATACAGGTTTATCCCAGTACTGGGTGCCCTAATTCCCATGATATATAACCCCCTCTCCCCCCTTTCTGGAATCAGATTCGGTATCAGGCTGAGCACACAGTTTGCTATGAGCACCAGGGAGAGGGGGGAGGCTAATAATTGAATTTTGTTGAAATGGTTTTTTTTCTGAGTCAGGATCATAAAGCTTTCTGGTTTTATTCAATTTTCACATCGGTTTCCCCCCATTAAAATAAGCCATTTAATAAATGGATAATGTGTGTGTTCTCTGCCCCAGAAATGCTATTATTGCACAGAGGATTTTATTACAATGAGCAGGAAATAGGAAACATTGGTCCATGGGTGGAATTGGATTAATTACAATTAATCTAACTCATTTTGGGGGAATTTACCTGATTTTAGCATTTCATTTGGTGCTAAATATGACCCCAGCAAGTGCAATGCTCACAAATAGCACATGGAATGCTGACCTGGGTCCAGAATTATTCCACACAGGGTTCTGTTTAATCTGGGACAAACAATAGGTTTCAGTAATCTCTGAATCCTTTCTGTATATCTGAGGATGCGATACATATTTCTCAATAAAACCAAAACATATATTAACATTGTATCACCTTTTCATTCCTATTCTATTTGAATATTTGGAGACTCTATTATTCGTTTTTGCTATTATTGTGTTATATAAATTTCCCTTCCCACATTATATATATTGTATGTATCACAGGAGATCAGTGTGTTAGACTGGGTTCTGTCTAATCCTTTTATCCAGGATTTATTAGATTAAATTAACAGACTGGAATATTCTATTGGATTATTATGAGTTGGGATTATTAGACTGGGATATTTGTCGCTCTATAGCCCAGAGAGGGGTTTGGACACATTCCCTTAATTCCAGAAATCTAATTTCCTGGTTATGAGTTAAATGGCAAGGAGGAGAATATAGAGATTATTGGAATATTCTGTCCCAGAAAAGGACAAATTGGGAGATTAATCGAAGTGTAAAATTAAGTATTTATTACATGATTGATATGAGAATTCACAGGATCCAGAATAATATTATACATGGCAGTAACATAATATATAATACCGGTAATATTTACAGTGAAATACATATATTTATAATATAATGAAATGAGGCATACTTCTGGAAATATTTAGATTAATACTAAACATATTATAAATATTTTAAAATCAGCAATAATGCTGCAAGTAATTGGATATCATATAATAAAAAAATATATTTTTTCTAATACGAGCAATCAGAATGTAAATAGATTAATGGCATATTTACATATATAATAATAATATTAGCCAAACTATCTGTGATATATTGTGTTGTAATAATTAAAATAACGAAACAAATATTTATCATAGAGTATTAGTAACAATACTGGGAATCCTTCTATTACTAAGGCATGCATTGATTATATTAGCAAGAATAGTACTGAGAATTCGATTCATAGAATGTGTATTAGCAGCATTTATTATTAAATATCAAAACAAAACAAAAATATCCGAATTAAACAGTAAATAGAAACATTGCAGAATTGTTGGTTTTAGAAGAACTAAATAATTCTATATTTCAATCTAAATAATGTTAGTAAACAATTAGTAAGATATAATAATTCGAAGATCATGAAACGAGTTAAATTCTTATTAATAATTACAATAACCTGCTGCACTAATTATTTTCTGTTCTCTGTTATAACTTAGTTTCCTAAACAAAACTTGCAATTAAGAAATCGAGTTTAATTAGCCCGGATCATCAAATCACAGGGTTTGTCCCCAAGAAAAAGAATGAAATGCTGATATTTCTGGAGTAATGATTTACCATGTCTTCATCATTATTCATGGATAGTTTGGCAATTATCATTATTATTATTATTATTATTATTATTTAGCATTGTTTATTATTTATTTTTTTCCAATTCGAAATTTGTTTTTTGTTTTTAATGTGAATGGATTTTTTTGTAATGTTTATTTTTTCGATGACTGATGATATTTTTGTTTAATGGTATCAGTTTTGATTTGCAATGTATCGTTATTTGTTCGAAATGTTTCGTTGTTTTAGAATTATTGGGATCTCAATGCTGAGCCCCTGTCCCCCTGTCCCCATTGTGGAGGGTTCTGTAGGATTTAACGTTGTCAGTGCCAGGGAGCAGCCTGTAGGTAAGTGGCAGTGGGTGCTCATCCTATATTCCCTCTCTCTCTCTCTCTCTGCCTCCTAAATATTAATATGTCAGATTGTGCATTTATTCTCCATCAGTCCCTTACACACAAACAGCTTTCTCTGTAAATATGACGATTTTATGGCTGAAATTTACTTGTTTAATAATTTTTTAACTTGATTTATCCTGTGTGTGGGAGATTGCTCAGTCCTGTCTGAATTAAATGTATCCAATAGCTTGCTTTAAATCTTTGTGAGCAAATACAAATTTATTTTAGATCTAAGAAGAGAAACATATTGAAGGAGAGACAGAGAGGGAGAGAGAGAGAGACCTATAGAGAGAGAGAGAGAGATCTAGAGAGAGAGAGAGAGATCTATAGATAGACAGACAGAGAGAGAGAGGGGGACAGAAAGATCTATAGAAAGAGAGAGATGGGGGAAGAGACAGATCTAGAGAGAGAGAGGGACAGACAGATCTATAGACAGAGAGATCTATAGATAGACAGACAGAGAGAGAGAGAGAGGGGGGGACAGACGGATCTAGAGAGAGAGAGAAAGAGAGAGATCTATAGACAGACAGAGAGAGAGAGATCTATAGAGAGAGAGAGATCTATAGACAGAGAGAGAGAGAGAGAGAGAGAGGGACAGACAGATCTATAGAGAGAGTGAGATCTATGGACAGACACAGAGAGAGAGGGACAGACAGATAGATCTATAGATAGAGAGAGAGAGAGATCATGTAGATTATTAGATGTGAAATAAATGAATTAGCAGTAGAATGTCTAATTATTTTGTCAGTACTAATTACTAGTTGTTTTGCTTTTAATCAATATCTTTTCTCTGATAAGATTCATGTTTCTTGTCTTAATATATTTGGGACCATTTATCAGTTTGTTAAAATGTAAAATTGATTAAAGTCATTTTGTTTAATTTAATGAATGGGTTATTTGTAAAATCACTTATTTCAATGCTTGGCCTATTCCTCACATTTAAAACCTAGATCATTTGGCTTTAAAACGATTCCAACCAATTATGATCAATTATTAGTGATTATTGCCAATCCTGTCCCTGCAATGTAAACAGTCTGATATAAAAGAATGGACAATAAATGTTTGTAACTAGCATGGAAATCAAAGGGTTACAGGAAAATCATGCATAAAGGGTTAAATGTTATTTTGCCAGTGTTCTGATTGTGTCTGCCTAATATCTGGGATTATTTCATAAATAACTCCTTTATTATAGCCTTTCTGCATTGCCTGTCTCTGTTTAACCCTTTAGTTTGTTGGTAGGGGAGACAGAGGGCTGCTTTGTACAGCCCCCCTGGCACTCTCAGGGTTAAGACCCAGGGTGTGCTGGTTATTATACCATTTACTGGTTAATGTTGCCATTAACTGCTTTTGAAAGCAGATATTTCACTGTCTCTCTGCAGTGTTCCTGCTTCCTCCCCCTCCTCACTAATTTAATCACCCCCTCCCCTGCCCCTCTCTCAGACCTGAGGCTTTATCTTAAAGATCTCTCTCTAGTTTATGGGCTAAAAGCAAAGTGACACAGATTGACAAACACAGGACAGGTGGACACATTACAGGGGCTTATCTGCTAAGCAGTGCATTGGGCTGTCTGTTACAGACTGCACTATCCCTCCATTAACCTGTAATCCCCATAATTAACAGCTAATTAACCAATTAACCTGTTTCCCTCTCCCTCTGTGGGCTGGAATGTCCCTCTGGAGCAGTCACCCTGCTGGCTTAACCCCTTCAGTAAATAGCAATTTAGCTTCCAGATCCTCTATGGGTTTTTAATACAGTATTATTATTATTATTAATAATAACAATAACATTTGAACTCTTTGTGGTGATGGGCTGTACATGAAGAGTGCTGGCCTGTAATATGTACATTCTGTAAGTTGCAGGAAATCAATGAGTTAATTAATTAGATTTGAATAAAAAAAGAACTGCCTTGATTTATCTAATTGACTTCCTTCCTGCAGCATATGAAGCCTACATACTATATTACAGGGCAGAACTTTTCATGTGCAGTCCATCAGTGTGAATATGTTATCCACCTGGTTATTTATTAAGGTGTGTATTGTACTGAAATTTAAAAAAAGTGAATTTTAAATGTGAGGCGATTTAGCTGAATTGGAAAGTGTTAGTAGTGGAGGCAGGGTGCGGCGCCTGGTGAGCCCGAGGTTAGAAGTCAAACCTGTTTTATTTATACTTGCACGTATGTAACATGGCTTCATAATAACCTTTTATATAATAACGGTTTGAAAATCACCACCTGTATAATAACCTTTTATAAAATAACGGTTTGATAATCACCATCTATATAATAACATTTTATATAATAACAGTTTGATATATAATCTTTTATATAACAGTTTCATAATCACCATCTATAGAATAACCTTTTATATAATAACAGTTTGGTCATCACCTATATAATAACCTTTTATAAAATAATGGTTTGATAATCACCACTCATCACCTATATAATAGCCTTTTATATAATGGTTTGATAATCACCACCTATATAATAACCTTTTATATAATAACGGTTTGATAATAATCACTTATATAATAACTTTTTATATAATAACGGTTTGATAATCACCACCTGTAGAATAACCTTTTATATAATAACAGTTTAATAATCACCACTTATATAATAACAGTTTGATAATCACCACCTATATAATAACCTTTTATATAATAATGGTTTGCTAATCACCACCTACATAATAGCCTTTTATATAATAATGGTTTGCTAATCACCACCTACATAATAACT